CCCCTGGCCGCACCGCTTTTCAAAACCCTAATATGGGATTTATAGGACCCGCCAAAAAAGTAGATTCTGGTAGGTTATTAAGGTATGTACCTTGGAGGTCAAGCCTAAAGTCGACATCCCTGACGCTAAACCCCAAACCCTTCCCGTTGTAGCAGGGAGGAATAAAAGAACCGTCAACAACAAAAGCGCTCCAACCCGAAACCACAAGCCCCTAAAGCCCAAACTCTAGACCACAAAAGCCCGTTTCCAGAAGCCGAGGCCGCGGAAGTCATCGCCTTCTACCAGCAGCAGATCTGTGCCTTAGAAACTCGGCTCGGATCGTCGGGACTGCCCGCGCCCTGAACCACCAAAACTCTAGAGCCCTAACCCTACCTATAGTCTCCGTCGTAGTTCCTTTTTGGGGATACCTTATAAAGTGCTGAATATATATTTGGTTAAACCAGAAAAAGGAACTACACTGGAGACTACAGGTAAAACCCCAAAAGCCCTTACTGGAGACCCTTATGGAATTCTATTAGCCTCGGAAATCGTCTGGTGCCGTCGCCGGATCCGACCCTAAACCGTAAACCCCTACAGTTCCTAAAGCCCTAAAGCCGTAGAGCCGTAAGCCCTAAAGCCCTAAAGCCTCAAAACCCTTAAATCTTAAACCAAAAACCTAGGTCTCTGCTGCACCGCAACTGCTGCCAGCGGAAGCGCAAGGGTTAACCCTAAATCCGAAAGCCCAACTCTAAACCCCTATCCCCAAGTCCTAAATCCGAAACCCTTTGAAGCCCTACCTAAACCCTAAACCCTAAACCCTAGACCCTAAACCCTAAACCCTAAACCCTGAACCCTAAACCCTAAACCCCAACTCCTAAATCCGAAACCCCCCCAACAGCCCCACACACACCGGAAAGTTCGGCACTCGGCTGCTGGAGGAAGCGCGCCTTGCCGAGCGCAAGACGGCCCGGGCCGGAGGCCCCGCTTCCGTCACCGGCAGAGGGCTGTCTCTTTTTTTTGGGTTTTGGGGTGTTGGGGTTTAGGGTTTAGGGGTTTAGGGTTTATGGTTTAGGGTAGAGTGATTTTTGTTCTACCTTAAGAACCCAACACCCACTTCTTTGTAGGCTCTTATTACAAGCCCTAATATGGGATTTT